GCAAACACGCGTTTCTATTTAATTGAAACTTTATCAAGTTAAAGTACCTATGTATATTGTATACACAGCAGTATGTTTACAATTACAACATTATGACAGAGGACAACCTTTGCAGGTCACCAATCGTATATGTCACTATAAGTCATAGGTAATATTTTTAGATCAAAAGATCTCCGGGAAAAAATATCTTATTCAAAATATTCACGAATGAAATATCTATATTTACTAGTTAATACGATTATATATATGACACTAACACATTGATACATCGTGATAGTCTGAGCTTGGTGCAATGATGCTGGAATATAAATCCGGGGGCTTACATTTGTAGAAAAATGTACTTTAGACTTAGGTCTAAGTATTTAAAGTGGACTTACCTCTGGCAGCAGTTAAAAAGCGTCCTATACAGTTGCAGCGTCATATTATAGCCCAAGTGGCCAATCTGTTGCGTCCTATTTTAATTTTATTGCACGTTCTTTAGAAAAGATACTCAYTGATTTTGTTTCTCAAAGTAGCGGGTAATATTGTTTATTTAAAAAAATGGTCCAGCAATTAATAGGTGTATATAGTATATGGATTACATATATCATATTATATATATATTTTATTTATATTAAGCCTCGGCGTCAAAGGCCATTGGCGTTGGTTTAGAATAGGTTACATAATATATATATACAATTATTTACAGGTTATATACAATTTATAATATATATTATTACGTATACATACCTATATTATAATACACTTTATTATTACAATCTATAAGATAAAATTAAAAAAATAATGACACCTAAACTGTCAAAACTTATTATACCCTCGATTATACCTTCAATATCAAATAGATCTGTTTGTAGAGGATCGGGTACGATGCCGATGAATGATGGATTTTGTAAATATTGGAGTTATTTTTTAGTATGAAAATAGGACCAGGGGCTGGGTGGTCAATATCCCTTGCTAAACACATTAATACAAGTTATAAATTATACAAATCAAATTCAATCCCAATTAATGCGGGAACCTAATTTTTATTTATTGCTCTTACTTTTAATTTATTGCTATAATTTACCATTGTTATACATAGTAAAATTTGTATTTTTCTACCTACGATTTATCATTTTAGCATTTTGTATTACTGCTTGTTTCTTGTTCAAAATATTCAAAAAAGTACCAGCTAGTAAAAATAACTACAGTCAAATATAGTAGTATAGTACCTACTAGATAAACCTAATATCTATAGTATTGACTATAATCATTGTTCAGTACTACAAATTATTTTAAATAGGCAAAATAGGTGTATAATTATTAAATTATATGTCAATATATGTTATAGGTAGATGGTATAGGTACTAGTATAGTATATAGCTARGCATATAATTTATAAGTATTTTGAGTTTTTTAGAGATTAACTATGGAAGAGAAAATAATCTAACTTGCCGTTTACTCCATGATAATCACRAAGCTTAATTTATGAACTCCGTAACTTTACTGATGAATAATGATGATAAGGTAAACAACAATAATAATAATAAATTAATAACTAATAAGATTATAATTTATTACAATATAATTAATTATTTAATAAATTAATACTTAATGCTACATAATACTTATCGACTGACGGCTATT